TCAAGCTCGGTTGCTGGAAGAGGCATACAAAACAACTTTTCAGTTTTTGTTGTCCTCTAGTCCCGACGATGCAACTTCGGCTCGTCTGCTGGCCGCGTCAAGCGACGCGAGCTGCGGTTGGTTGAGATCCTGGCCCAACTCATCGGTGGGTACCCGACTGGATGATGAGACGGTCAGAATGGCCATTGGTTTTCGTCTGGGTTTAACGGTCCACCATAAATATCTGTGTAGGTGCGGTGCGGAAGCTAACGAACTCGGTCACCACGGCCTGGTCTGTCGTTTAGGTGGAGGTCGTCAGTTGCGCCATTCCGCATTAAATGATTACATCTGCCGGCTTTTCTCCAAGGCTTCAATACCCGTTCTTAAAGAGCCCTCGGGAATTTCCGCGTTGGATGGAAAACGTCCGGATGGCTGCACGTTGATTCCTTGGAGAGCCAGTAGATGCCTGGCGTGGGACGTAACCGTTCCGGGCACATTAGCGGAACGGTACGTGCACTTAACCAGCAAAGAAAGTGGTTTGGCCGCAACCAGGGCATCAGATGAAAAGTTTAAAAAATATGAAGGTGCCCTGCCCTCGATGGATTTTTTACCTGTTTGCATCGAGGTTCTTGGCCCGATGGACAACAACACTTCAATATTTTTTAAAAAGATTTGCAAAAAGATAAGTGGCAGGTCCGGCGACAGCAAAGAGCTATTTTTCGCCATGAATCATATATCTTGTTTGCTGCAAAGGTTTTTGCGCGTCTGTGTTACCGAAAATGTTCAATTAAACGCCGACGTGAGCGAATAACGAGATATCAATTGTTAACCGATTTTTTCAGATGTTTGACTGTTTAGTGTCACTCATCGCTGATTTGGTTTAAACATACATACATACATACATACATACATACATACATACATACATACATACATACATACATACATACATACATACATACATACATACATACATACATACATACATACATACATACATACATACATACATACATACATACATACATACATACATACATACGTACGTACATACATACATACATACATAAATACATACATACATACAATCAAATTTAGTCAGACGCTTGGCTTTTGGTGTCATTCGTCAATAATTTGGTTTTAACAACATACATACATGCATACATACATACATACATACATACGTACGTACATTCATACATACATACATACACACGAAACGAAACGAAATTTTATTTGCTCCATAAAATTAAAAAAGAATTTAATGATAAAAAGCGGGCTGACCATGATAGAATTCTTATTGGAATTCATCGAGCATGGCCACCGTAACAGAAAATACAAATTATGTTTCTAGTTTTCTATATAAATTATACACCTTTGAATGTAATGGTCCTTGAATAATTCACAACTAAAAACCAACACATACATTTATGTGTATTTTCAATAAAAACGTTTTTAACCTATTTTTGAAGTTCTTGTGCATATTTTTGAAGTTCTTATGCATATTTTCATTACAAAAACCATTTTTCATAATATAATTCCATACTCTTGGACCTTTACATATAATATGTGAAAAGAGTATATTCGTTTTTGATTTATTAGCTAAAATGTTATTTAATCGTCTATTGTTAGTATTTAAATTGAAATAGTTATTGAAAATATGAGGGAACTTATTAGTTAGCTGCCTATACACAAAAACGGCGATGCAGTACAAGTTCAATTTATTGAAATCTAAATTGTTAGTTGTTGTGGATAGTCGATGAGTGTGGGCTTGTTTTCTTGACAACGTGATGATCCTGATTGCCCTTTTCATCAGTATCATGATAGGATGGGTGGTTGATTGGTATGCACTGGCCCAAACTACATTGCAGTACGTCACGCTAGGCAAACATATGACATTGTAGAGCACGTTTAAACATCGTTTTGGGAGGAAAAATCTGACCCTGCTGATTATTCCAATTGACCCAATTGACCTTGCGAATTTGTTGGATATGTAATCAACATGGGACTTGAAACTCAATTTCTGATCTAGAAATACACCCAGAAATTTTACTGTTTTACTTTCAGTAATTTCAAGATTATTAATTTCGATTTTAAACGGCTCTTTATAATTTAAATATTGTATTGGTCCGAATACAATCATTTGAGTTTTTGTGTTGTTAATTGTTAACCTGTTGCTGTTGAACCAAGAAACAACGAGTTTTACGTTATCGTTCGTTTTTTCAATTGTTTCGTTGATGTTTTTTCCGCTACTAAAAATGTTAGTATCCTCAGCGAAACAAACATAGTCGAAATAGTCTGTTGCATTTGGAAGGTCTTTGATGAACAAAATAAATAAAAGTGGTCCCAAAATACTTCCTTAAGAGACACTAACTCCATTTGGCCGTAATGACGAATACTTGTTTTTCCAGCAAACAAACTGTTTCCTTTCTGACAAGTAGCTTTGGAACCATTTCAAAATCACACCCCTCATGCCATAGTGTTCAAACTTGCCTAATAAAATTGCGTGATCAATGCAATCGAAAGCTTTGGAGAGATCAAGACAAGTTCCAACAACAAAATGTTTATTTTCCGTGAGTATTCCGATTTTTCTTATTAGTTCTATAATAGCCAGTTCTGTCGAGTATTTTTCACGAAAACCAAACTGATGACTGGAAAGAATGTTATTTTTTTGTAAATAAGATGTGATTCTTTTATACATTATTTTTTCTATTATTTTAGAGAAAGTTGACAAGAGTGAGATGGGTCGAAAATTTGATGCATCATTGTTTCCAGTTTCTTTTTCTATTGGTATAATTTTTGAAACTTTTAAGCATTGCGGAAACACACCTTCCGTAATGGAAAAATTGATGATGTGTTCAAGAATAGTTGCTGTTGAGTTGATTGTTTCTATAATGACTTTTGTTGGAATGTCATCCCAGCCATTGGAAGATTTTGGAATCAACAATTTAGTCTTAGATATAATTTCATCTGCCGATACATAAACACAAAAAAATGAATTCGAAATCCTGTTGCGAAGATATAATTCCCAATTATTATCAACGTTAAAGGATTTCATCAAATTTGGTGCTAGGTTTACGAAATGTTCATTTAGAAAATTTTCAGGATCTTCTATTAGTTGGTCGTTTGAAGATAATTGAATATTAGAACCGTGTCTACTAGAAATATTTGAAACTTCTTTTATAATTGACCATATTTTTCTAATGTCTTTTTTATTTTGCTCAATTTGTTGAAAATAATATTGAAGTTTTGATTTCGTTATCAACTTTGTACAAAATTGACTGAAGCTTTTGAATTTTTCATATTTTTCCTGAACAGGATTTTTCAGAAACATTTTGTAAAAATATTTTTTTTTGTTGATCATTTTTTTAATATCTTTTGATATCCATGGTTTTTGTTTCATCAAAAGTTTTTTTTCTTCAGTGATTGTATTGAACACGCATCATAGAAACAGGACTGAAAAATTTTGATAAATCTTTCAAAAGCCATATCAACATTTACACACCCAAAAACTTGGCTCCAATCTAATGACAGAGATGTTCATTTAATTTTCTTATACGATGTGCTGAGAAAGAAAACTTGTTGATCGAATAACATTCGTTACTGGTTTTTGTTGAATGCTTAGCACAATCTGACTCACGTATGCACACAAAAACTGGTAAATGATCAGACAAATCACAAGCAATTGTTCCACAGAGAAAACTGATATGATTTGTTTTTAAAAATATATTGTCGAGTAGTGACTGTTTGAGGACGGAGATTCTAGTTGGTACGTGAACGGTTTGCACCAGACCATATGAAATCATTAACTGTTGTAGTTTTGTTTTGTCACTAGAACCAACTGAATCAAAGCAATCAATATTGAAATCACCAGTGATGAATAGCGATTTATTTTCTGAACTTATAAAAGTTATTGCTGTTTAACCTATCTGACACATAGCAGCCGACATCCCCTCCCAATTTATGTTGTCGATTTTTGCAAAAAAAATTATATCCTCTTAAGTTTACTAAATTATGGTTTTCACTACGCAGCCAAGTTTCTGATATAGCAATAACATCAAAAAAAACATCCAATTGATCAATAAAATTTTCTAGTTCTGACAATTTATTGATGAGACTTCTTATATTTAGATGAATCAAATTAAAATTTATACCACTGTTAATTTTATTATTTTTACTATAATTTGCATACGTTGATTTAAAATTGTTTATACATGAATGAAAATTACACATTAATTTAAATTTATTTTGAATTTCATTGTAGTTATCAGTTTCATCTTCATCTTCATCATCATCATCATCATCTAGGATATTTAGCTTATCCATCTTTCTTTGTTTTTTCAAAAGTAACTTCAGCTTTTTTTTACATACATACATACATACATACATACATGCATACATACCGACTAAAACACATTCCGACATTCCTGCCATCGAACCTGCAAACACACACACACACACATACACTTACATATACACAGACACACACTTACACATACAAACACATATTATATGCATATTTATTTATACAAGTTTTCAAATGTCAGTTTTACTTTTTTGCTCATGTTTGTTCATTTTTATACCTCCATAGTTTTCACGTTATTCATGAAGCGATAACGAAGTGAATAGAATTCATATTGCATTATTACTTATTGTTATTAAAAAACTCACAATGGAATGCACTGCAACGTGGCGAACGCAGTAGTTTTCTATGAAATAATCATAACTCCGATGTCATTTGACACCTGACAGACCAAACAAAATGTAATAAACATGCATGTGATTATTGTCGGATCAAAAATCTAAATTGAAAACTCAGTGTGCCGTGCAACTAGCTATTGAATAGATATTTATAACTTAACAAAGGGAAGACCTTCTAATTGTAAGGGTAGATTTCTCGATTTGTTAAATGTGTGTGTGTGTGTGTGTGTTTATATTAATCTACACGTGTGTGTGTGTGTGTGTGTGTGTGTGTGTGTGTGTGTGTGTGACTAATTTATGCGTTGGGTGTACGTGTGTGTGTGACTAATTTATGCGTTTGGTGTACGTGTGTGTATGAATCAGTACGTGAGAATGAATTTGTATGTAGTATTTATTTAAATCTGGGAGACCAATCGTCGCAGCAGAAATAAAATTCATGAAATAAAAGTTACATAAGAAAGGGTCATTTGATAGGTCACTCGATGGACAACTGATTATAATAGCGGCGGTTATGATGACATTTCTTTGATCAGAAAATTATTTTACGATGCTGTTAATTATAATTTTAATTACGTTATTTGAAAATAATTAATCATTCTCTCGATCGATCAATCATGAAAAAATCAATCAATCAAAATCAATTCAGTTGGAGAAAATTTTGCAACTCAAACTGAAAATAAAAGGATTTAGGAGGAGAATGATTAATGAAATGCGAGGGCCTGCAGAAGATGACTGATTTGACGGCATTGAACATAAATAAAAATTTTGATAGAAGTTATATCCGAATGGATATGCACTGTTTTTGATTGAAACATTTAATAGAGCAATAACATATTTTTAAGAACAACTTTGGCCAAAAATAAACGAATCAAACTGAAAAATATGCGAAAAATGATAACGTTAGATTGTTTAAAATGTAAATATTGAATGCAATCCTTCACTCAGAAATAAATATTGTGTGTGGCCCAGTTTTGAAGCATATTAGTCAAAAGCATATCATACAAATTGTATTGAAATAGATAAAAAAAATTCAATTTAAAAATGCTCTAAAATATAAATTAAAAGTGAACTAAAATCGAAATAACTCGGAAAACTGTGCTGAAGCAAAAA